TAATTATTTTTAAGTGAAGTATCGTCTTTCGATGTTTTACCGCAACGTCACGCATACCGAACGCAATCACGCTTAGCCATTCGATTGTTTCTTTCTTTTCTGTCAGTTCACTTACGGTTTCCATTCGAAGGATGACTAAAACCGGATCGAATGGAAACCAGTCAAGGTAACGTCCTTGCGATCCGGATAGTCTGCTGGCGTAGAAATTCGGCGTCGTGAGAGCTGATCGATCAATCTGCCAATAATTGATCGTATTCGTTCGAGTTTGAATTATCGATACACTTATTCGAAGCGTAAATTAATAGATTATATTTGGCATGATTGGTATTCATTTCTTGAAGTTGCATTTTTTTTCTCCTCTGTTAATTATCCCGAAGATAACTTTATCGTGATGCAAGACATTTTGTACTAATTGAGGAATATTCGAGGGGCTGCAAGAGGGGGAGAGAACTAACAAGAGTATTATTTTCTAGACAACTTTATTACATATCAGAATACAGCCTACAGTTTGTAAATTAGATGCTTATCGATATACTCTTAAATGTAAGTAACATCCGGCAGGCTTAAATAAGAGACATTGCCATTCTAAAATTCATTAAAAAATATGAAAAAACCATCGTAACCGGATAAAAAATAAATTTGAAAGTCATAATGCACATTGCTTTGCTTTTATTATCGATTACAAAAAGTCCTCAGGCGTGTACGTGTCTGTAACGTGTCTCTGTTTCATGTGTCCACGTATTATATATATTTATATATTTATATTTATTTATTCATTTATTTATTTATATATGTATATGTATATAATGATATGCATGTGTCGTGTGTGAACGTGTGTCATCGTGTGTCGATGTGAATTTTCCCGGATTTTTGTAGAAGATGCGCCAGGTATATGAATTTCCCTTTCATATCGTCTGTGCTCCTCGAGTCCATTTCTTTCTTTCTTTTTCCCTTTCTTTCGCGTTCCCTCGTTCATTTTATATGTCATCTAGAATCGCATAACATGTACAACGTGTATGTTATTTAATGTTCGAGGAAGAGCCCGTGGCAGTGAACAGAATGGGTATGTAAGTATAACCTACGATCTAGAATAGAGTACGTGATTTGATACATTGCTTTTGCATGCATTGTTAATGATATTTCCATTCGTGTAATTCACTTATAGTCATTACGATTCATCTTCGTCTTTGTTTCGTTTTTTTTTT